TACCAATCTCAAACTTTTGAATGGTAGTGTAAATTTTTGGAGGATGTCTACAAATTACATGAAAAAGTCATCACTGGACGTCTAAAGCAGATAAAAATTATTACAGGGTTATAGTTTCTCTGTGCAGTCACAGCATAAGAAATTGCAAAATGTATCTAAAATTAGAGCTCATGTTGATCAATGTACAGCTGGTCAAAAACAGATATAGAATCACTAATAGGTCTGTACACCTGGCATGGGGCTCCTTTTTAAGGAGGAGTATAGCAGCCACTCGGCTCCAATAAAAACAGTCTGGTCCTAATCAGCCACATGTGATATATTGAGACCACTCCAACTTCATGCACCAGAAAACAGGCTGAGAATGAAGACCAATGTTGAGGACGGCACTTTAAAACTACTGTAAACCTAGACTGTAAACTTACTGCAACAAGAAAGGAGGGATAAAAGGAATTAAGTTTCTCATCTCACTCTAAAAACCAACTAAACAACAAAGGCTTTTGTCCACAATCACTTTGCTTAAATATGTCTCAAGCAAAAGCAAATCTACAACTTACTTGTGAGAACATTCTGTGTTACAACACAGCACTTGTTCTTGCTTGGATCTAATCTTATTATAGCATTGTGTGGATGAGCTCAGAAATAATTTTAATTAGATTTGGAGGCATGAAATATTGTTCATCACATTCAACAGACTACCGTTTACTCTGGAAGCTCAAAGCATGTGAAATCGCAAAGGCAAAATATGCCAAAGATCCCACTTTTGCAAAATACTTGGCTGTTTGAGTCTAAACCGTGTTGCTGATTGTACAATGAGATAAAACATGAATTCAATAGCAATGTTCCTAGCAGAGCTTCACCAGATTAAAGGAATCCAATAAAAAAAAAAAAGCATCACATGAGCCTGAAGGAGATTTCTAACATGTTTGGTTAGGGCTCGATAGCAGGCAGAGCTATAAGTGAGTGATTTCATTACAGATTATTGGTGTATATTACCACTAAGAGGAAGGGAAGACCCCATGGTACACATACAATGTGTGAATGACTAAATGCACGGAGTCATCCAGTGCAGACAGAATGGAGAGTTAAGTGTTCAGTTGTCTTAGCAACTAAAGTAGCAGCAAACAAAGGCGTTTCATAAGATTTGGTGAAAAATTCTAAAAACCTTAAAATCTACGAAAATGTAACGTGACAATATATTTAATACAAAACTAAGGAAAACATCTAAAAAAATGCACAGATCAAGGAGCCAGCTGTCAATGTAATGATCACTGGTGCAAGCAGTGCAATTGACACAATTAAACTGAATCTAAATTGAATCTATGATTAGTTTCATCTACCTGTAACAGCACTGTTTTCTGCAACCTTGAAGCATATAAACAATAGCTTTTGGCTTGAACCACTTAAAAAGTTGTCAAAACTTCAAAAAGAGCCATGCCTACTGTAAACAAATTGTGTGCACACATTATTGTCACAGTCTCTTGCATAAAAGAATGTTGCTTGCTAGGGATATGCCAGTATCAAATTTTCATGTTGCGATTAATTGCTAATGCTTTTATCACGGTATGCGGTATTATCACGATATTGGAATTTAGTTTTAAAAAGTGCTGTCATAATACAGTATAACAGGTTTAATAACTTTTTTCTTATAACAAAAATAACTGAACATTTAAATGCAATAAAGCAATACAGAAAAATGTATAAAGTTAAAAGTTTTAAACAGATTAAAGTGCAAAAGAACTATAAAGACCAATAGGTATCACTTTACAATAAGACCTCATTAGTTAACCTTAGTTAATGCATTAACATTCACAATGAGCAATATCTACATTTGCTACAGAAGTTATTAATCCTTGTTTAAAAAATACAAGTCTTAGTTCAGGTTAGCTCATTAAATAACACAGTTGCAACTTTCGATTTTAACAACCTGTTATTAAATATTGGAATACCTAAGATTAATGAATGTTCAGAAGAATCGCATTACCAAATACAGGCACAAGTCTATTGCTTGCTAACAACTTTTGCATGAGTAAACAGAACATAAACATGTTTAGATTTAGATGTATGATCGTGGTGTCTGCAGGTCAAGCCACATTCCATTAAAACAATAAGCATCACTAAGGTTTATGCATAGCTGGCTCTTATCGTTCCCAACTGTACCAGACAATTTGGACTTACACAGATTCCTATAGTCATGGATGCATTAAGTTTGTTCTGTTTTTTTATACTTTGTTGTGTTCCCTTTTGTCTATGTTTCCCCATCTCATACTCCATCCACTTATGGACATACTTAGATTCAATTCCAAAGATGTTTTGCATGTTATTGGTGGCTAGCTGCTGCACCTCCCTGACCAGACTACCACAAGTTTTCAGTCTGCAACCTGCCTGCCAATGGCTGTGACCGTCCTGTGTTCTGTTTGCGCTTGTAACTATTTATATGTAGGCCTACTTTTATGTTTACACCCTAACGACAAGCTAAAAGTGCTATACATAAAGTAAACATGATTTTTTTACTATTTTACTATTCGTACCTAGGTCAATTATGTCATGTGATGTCAACATGGCGCCGCCCATGAGGGAGCGACCCACTCCATGTAGAAGAAAACAGCCTTTTCTAGAAAACTGGCATGTGAGAGTCTCATAGTGTGCGTTATTCAGTGTTATTTCTCAACAAAAAAAACGCTCTTAGTTTGCGTGTGAATGTTTAAAAAAATACTCAGTGTACCTTTAATAAACAAACAAAAAAGTTCTCTCTTAACACTGGTAGGTGTGTCCTACAGAACCGATCAAGACGCCACAAATAAGGATTTTGCACATGCGAATTTCACAACAATTTCAGTGCTATGAACACAAAGACAGCGTCCACACTCGCATATTTTTGAGGAACTGATCCCGTTTTCAAACTATTCCTGGATCGTCAGCATTTCAGAACGAAAAAACCTTAACCGAAAAATCGCGAGCAGTGATTGACCTGCGGTTGTTGGAAAGCGCACTATAAATTTGCATGAATCTTGCTCCAACAGTCCTGCAGTTACAACACTGCCAGTGCATTTGAATACGATGTAAACGTTAACGTTACTTACATAACGCCGTAACTTTTTTTCAGGTGGAGACTTTCTGAGCCACCCCGAACACACCACTTCTCCTCCGCTCATTTTCTTCTAACCTTCCAGGAAAATACGCGCTTTAGGTTTCGTGTTTCAACCTGCAACATATGAAACCAAAGTCCCAAAACATGAGGTGGAAGTAGCGCCTAAGTGTTTTCAGTGCGTGTATTAAAACAACATGAATACCGTCACTCCTGGTTTCCAGCAGAGCGACACGGCTCTTGAAACTCCTCTGGATGAAGTCCTCTCCTCTGATATATCAAACACAATATGTCTAAACACAGCAATATCCGTCTGTAGTTGAGCCCCCTTTTAGTTTACACACTTTGTCGGAGTAAATCATCCGCTGTTTCGTTTTTTTTTTCCAAGCTGAAATGCAACGAGGCAGCGAGTAATACTCGCCAAGTTCGGCGTAGTGAAAGCTTTGATTTTTACTTTAGTTCAAAGTAAACCAAAACAGTTTCCTTGAAAATATATACAGTTTTTCCTTATTTTTCCAAAACATTATGGTCGCATTGGCACTGAAGTGCTTTTTGAACTAGAAATCCGTCCCGAACGTCGACCTTCCCTCCAGTTTCACTCCCCACGGCTCCTTGCTGATTGACAAGCATAAACGACGATACTTTCCCTAAACTCAGCCTCTTCTGGCCTACGGAGGCAGGGAGAAGTCGGTCAAGACGGAGAATAAAGAACATTACATCATGGGAAATGTAGTCTTGGAGTGTTGCTCCGTCAGAGGGAAAACACTGGGACGGTGGCTCCTATAGGTGTTAAACAAATCTCTTACCCAAATCCCAAATAAAATTGCTTAAATTCGGATTAAGACTGCTATAATAAAGTAGTAATTTATTTTTTTATTTTTTTATTTTTTGAGTCTGATCTTTTTAATGATTCGACTGAACCGGTTCGCAAACCAACTTTGAAGGATTTGTACAAAAAAATAATAATAATAATAATCATCATCATCATAATTGGTCAGTGTATATGATTATAATTATAAATATTTTAAAATATTTTTTTCTTTAATATTTTTTTATCTGCCAACCTTTTTATTCAAGAAATGTAAACACATTTGTATTATTTAATGTGATTGCAAATATTTAGGCACTAATTGATTTTTAAAGTATTTGTTATGTTTAGATTTTTATGAGCTGAATCATGCTGCAATAAACATGAACTGAACAGTCCAATAAACACTGTCATTAATATGCCCATTCGGGAAAAAAAAAGTAAGTAATAAACAGAAATGTGTGTCTACATTTGGCTTTATTAAACATCTAGGGCAGGGGTGCCCAAACTCGGTCCTGGAGGGCCGATGTCCTGCAGAGTTTAGCTCCAACCTGCCTCAACACACCTGCCTGGAGGTTTCTAGTATGCCTAGTAAGAGCTTGATTAGCTGGTTCAGGTGTGTCTAATTGGGGATGGATCTAAACTCTGCAGGACACTGGCCCTCCAGGACCGAGTTTGGGCACCCCTGATCTAGGGCATGTAATATTCAACACACGATGACGTAATTACGTCAGCACGTAAAAAAATCACATAATTTGTTTTTGAACCGACTCTTCAAATGAGCTGTTCGAAAGAACCGAATCGCAGAAAAGAGTCATAGAGAGACTTAGTGGCAATTAAGCGAACGTCTCGATAAAGACTGCACTTATCTGGGGCCTCATTTATAACCGTTGCGTACGCACAAAACCTGCCCTGAAAGAGGCGTACGCCACTTCCTGCGCAAAAGGTGGGATTTATAAAAAAAAACTTGACGGGAAAATTTGCACATCTGCATGCAAACTCTGACCCATGCGTACAGACTTTTTCTTCCTGGAGAGAGAAAAGTAATGAAGTAAACAACGATTTTAAACTTTTCATTTCATCATATACATTTACATTAAATATTCCACTCTCATTAATGGAGATAAGCACTGAAATTACATAAAGTTATTACGCAGAAGTTAAACCAAAATTGTATGAATTCAGACAGCCTATTTGTAGTGGATGCGCTTGATTACTTTTCTTGTGGTTATGTTATGTTTTAATGACAGCGAGGAGTGCTGTAGGTGCACAATAATTTATCCTTAAACTAAACTGCACATCTCATGTTTAAGAAAATATTTTTAGCGAGAACATCAATGATGCGCACTTACTTCGATATTATGGCGGACACTGCTGGATTCGGTGGAACGGTCTATTGTCCGGTTTGAATAGGTCCAATGATAATAGCTTACTGTACAACCGCAGCTGCACGGAAGTGTTGATGTCGTGTGAAGGCATCTCCACAACATTATGAAAAATACCACTGTATTTGAAGGATGTATACAGCTTGAAGAAAACGGTAAGATTTGCACGTTTCCTTTTTTAAAATACTTTGTCAATGACGCGCAGATAATTGTATTTGCACTGCAATAAATATAGGCCTATATTTTTCCACTAAAAATATCTAAAAGATGTTCACCTTATCAGCAAAACTGCAATAATTTAATTTAATTTGATTTTTTTTTTAAACAATTGAATATTGGGCAAGTGGAAATTAATGAGATCAACTCTATTCTAAATTATTTTTCTGAGAACTATTTTAAACAGTTTTTATCGATATTTTATTCTAAATCATAAGGATATCGGATGATTTTAGCAATAAAAATCAATGTGTATGGCACAAATGGCATTTATAGTCCGTATCCTAGGCGTTGAAAGCTCCATATATGGTGATTTTGGGGAGGAGTCGGGGTGGAGATGCACGTACGCACAATCTTCCCCTGACTGGGACTTATAAAGGGGTTTTTGCGCAGGTTCTGGCGTATGCATGGTTTAATAAATCTGAAAACGTTTGTGCTTACGCAAAATCTAGCGTTTGTGCCTACGTACACTTTTAGGATGAAATCTACGGAGAATTTTATAAATGAGACCCCTGAACTGTCAAAGTAGCCTGCGGTTATGACACTTATTTTTATTGCCAGTTTATTTATTTATTTATTTAATACATGAATTTATTTTACACATAGGATATATTTTTATAAATAGGCCTAATGAAAAAAAAAATGGCAGAAATGCAGTGTTTATGATAAACCACTAAAAAGCGTAGTACAAGGTATTAAAGTTTATATCACTGATAATAAGCAATATAATGATGAAAAGTGAACAGTTTGAGTACAGAACTTTCATGTTTGTGGGATTGTTATCTTCGGAATGCTAAACGCCTTACCCAGTTATCTCTGAAACTTTGTGCCTACTCAATATAGCCTAATTTGCAGCTCACTGCAAAGGATTGATTTAGTCAGTTTATTATCCTATAATCTTTCATCATGTGATTTCAGGTTGTGGATTAAAATAAACATTTTGCAATATGGAGGTGCACTTCCAGTACACTTAATATGGCAGTATATACAATTATTAAATTAGGTATCACTTATACAATTTAAGGAAGGATTTTGTTTATTCTTGAAACTACTAATTTTAACATAGCTTTTTTTATGATAGTTAATTATTATAATTTCGAGTATGGAAAATTCAGTAGGCTTGTATTACTAATTATAACTCTAAAGATGTAAAATGTAAATCAGAAAGAAAGAGAGAGAAGACAGAAAGATGGTGGAGTGCTTAGTCAAAAAGCATTGGATTTATTCACTTCAGTTCACAGTGAATTGTTTAATGATTGAGGTCCTAAAATAAATGAAAATATTATTAGACAAGTGCTATTGTCAAGCTATAGTGCAGAAAAAAAGCCTGCAGTTATGTGTTGAAGACTACATGCATTTATGTATTTATTTAATTTATTTTTTTTCCCAGAGAAATGGTCTTATCAGATTCAATTACAAAAGTCTGTTGTTAAAATTACTCATCAAATGGTAAATGTTATAAATCAAACACAAGAATGAAGCCAAAAACGAAAACTTTATGAGACTTTATAATGACAATATGCAACTCAGAGTGATATTTGATGTAGCCTATAATTTATATTAAGTATTTTTGTCTATGCCATAATTTACAATCAACACCTTGTTTGTTTTCTTCGATTATTGATCTAAAAACCTAAAGACGATATAAGTGGCTATTTAAAAGGTTATTACAGAACTATAACAATATGATAACAATTTCCATGTCACAGAATAAATTGTCAGTGGGAGTGGCCTAAACTGTAGCAAAGACATGTGTAGATCTCAGTTGTTGAATAATTGAGAGTCATTGATTTTACCAAATGGTTTTACAGACTGTGTGAGTGGTGCAACGCTGCAGCGCCCAACATGATATAAAGCTAATGGCTCTGGAGGGAATGAAGAACTAAAGGTGCCCACATTTGAAAACCACAATGCCGTCTTTGCTACATGTATTAGTTCTTCAGTTAAGAAATGTGCATCTAAGGAGTGCTTCACCACAGCCTTAAGGGTCTATTCTAAGCTAATGCACCAGGACAATGATGCCGTACTGATTTTAACAGGACTGTGTGCTCAAAAGCCGAGCATTGTGTCAGGGTTCACCAAAGGACATGGAGCACAGTGGTTCAAACTGAGGACACTGGGATGTTGGGGGTGGACTTATTGATTGATAGCCACAAGGTGACTAACAAAGGTCTCATGCTCTGATAGTCAAAACAGACCTTAGTCTCAGAACATGACATGAGCCATAGAATATTCACAGGAATAACACTTGTTATAATTGTTGCTTTGAAGTTCAGTATAACCCATTGTTATTTTAATGTATATATTATTAGAGTTTGTTTATATTTTGTTTTCATTTAAATA